TTGAATATTGGGGGCCTCAGGGAAGATTAGTTATATAGCTAACTGTGTAACCCTCTTAAAATAAAGTATTGTTGTTGTTGTTGTTGTTGTTGTTAGACACTTTCACTTGTTTTGATATCTATCAATTATATGTCAAATGTGATAAATAGATTTTTCCCCGTGAAACAAAACTAGAGTGTATAACCAACTGTTTATTATTGTTAAAACTTTCTTTTGTTTTCGATACCCCATCATGAAAAGATTTACATTAAGATACGCATAACAGAGATTTAAATTACATAGCCATGTTTGTAAACATAATGATATTTTTATTTAAAATTGTAACGGTTTACTTTAAAAGGCCAATTTTTTCTACAACAGGCTAACACGTAAGTAAGGAATTGTCGCTAACTAAGAGTAGACAATCATATGTTTGTATATATTTTGTTTATACCCTATAGTTTCTATTTACCCCTCCCTCCCTTTCCCCCACCTCCTTTTTATATTAATTTGATTACTAAATAAATCACACGCTTAGTATTTTTTTAGATCCTGAATTCACCGTTCATAAAAGTCAATCGAAAAAATCCCATTGATTTAAAAATACTTTAATTTGTCAGCTTATGCCGTTTATTGTGTCACGATAATTTATTTTTTGTTTCAAATTTATAGGAATAAACTATTTCCGACTTTAATAAAATACATAAATAAATCTTTATACTCCTGACCAATTGATTGAAACAGATTTATCTGTTGTTACGTATAAGTTTATTTCACAATGATAACAATACAATTTTGAAAGCCTCCTTCGTTAAACTATATACATTGACTAACGGATGAAAGATTTCATTAAATGTACTAGTTTGTACTTTAAGCTTCTTCTTCATAACAACAATTGAAGTTTTAACTGTAATGCATAAAACTGATAGCAGATAGCAGGAATCGCTAAGAACAGCAGACCAGAATCAACTGTCAGCACCCGATTCTTCCAATGAAAAGGGACTCAAAACAAGAACATACAATAATGAACAATATATTGCCAAGATAACCTAGATTAATACATGCACAAACTGTTTTGGGTCAAACAAGTTCCATGCGCACATACAACCTCGTTTTCTACTAAGACGAAATGTTTTGAAAACGAAACACACATTAAAAGACACTCAGACCACAGAAAATAACTAATGGGTAATCATGTCGGATTATTCTTATAAACATGGCTTGTTTAGCATTTGATATATTTAAACTAATTTTTGTAACGTGAATTGTTTTATGAATTAGAAAAAAACAAATGGTTGTTTCATTTACATCTTTTGCTTACCTAAACGGAGTGGTCAATGATTATTTGACTATCACATGTGGCATGTTAGTATGCATGTCTTAAAGCACACTCATAGGCTTTTACCAGTTATTATGAATTTATATTGTGTTACAATATATCTTGGTAGGTTAACAACGTACCATAAAGTTAAAATGACTTGACCAATAATGCATGATTCAGTTGCTTCAACATAGCTTTCGAACTCTCTAAAGTTATACGGCTGAATCCAGTTCTCACATACTTAAATAACCTATCAAATGTACCAGGCTGATAATTTGGGACGCCACATGCACGTATTGTGTTCATTAAACGCACTAGTGAGGATCAAAACAAAACAAAATTATGAAGCCTGGATCAAATTCTGATTTCGAGAGTATTGGATAGAACAATAATCCAAAAATATTGTTCCAGATACAGCTAATTCAATATATTATGGATGTTCATTTTCAAGTCACCGAGAGGAGACTGACACCTTCCTGTTTAGAGTGCTTATTCTAACATATTTTTTATCATTCTAAGTCAGACCAGCTGTATATGAAAGTGATTACACTTAGCGTCTATGCATCATTGCAACTTAGTTCATTGAAATATGCCTTATATTTTATGTTTCAATAACATATATTTATTTTTCTAATTCAATATAAAAATAAGAAGATGTGGTATGATTGCCAATGAGACAACTCTCCACTAGAGACCAACTGACACAGAAATTATCAACTATAGGTCATCGTACGGCCTTCAACAATGAGTAAACCCATACCGCATGGTCAGCAATAAGGGCCCCAAAATGACAAATGTTAAACAATTCAAACGAGAAAACTGACGGTATGATTGATGTACAAAATAGTGAACGTAAAACAAATATGATATACAGCAACAAACGATAACCACTGAATCACAGGCTCCTGAATTAGGACAGGCACATACAGAATGTGGCGGTGTTAATGTAGTTTTAAGGCGCCAACCCTCCCCCTATACTGGGACAGTGATGTAACAGTACAACATAAGAACAAACAATAAGATTCAATTGAAAAGGGCTTAACTCGTCAGATGGATACAAACCAGAAATACATCTAACAAAAACACAGAGTCGACGTGACTGGGTATTTATACATCTCCACTACAAATATAAACTTAGTACACATCTGAAAGTACTCGTAGTTACTGACAGCTAGTTCAAAGCCAATAACATCTAATAAAACAATCATGCATATAAGACTAAAGTTCTTTTTCAGAAAAAAATCGTTGTATGGATACATTTATGAGAATTCAACAACCTCTTCGAAAAAATATGCAAGCCAATTAGTTTACTGACACATCCAAAAACTAAATCAAGTTTTGTGTTGTACAGTAGCCAATGCATAGAATGAAATTAATTTCGATTTTAGTAAATAAATAGGTTAATTCAAACCCCATTGCATTACCGTGAACTATATAATAATTTGATCTTTCAAGACAAAACAAAGATCAAGTACAATTTATTTAGTAATATTAAGTAATATCGAATCCTGTAAAAAACAAAAACCAGCGAAAGCTAAATCCATGTACATGCATAACCTGGAAACTAGTTTATGGTTTTGAAACTGAAATCAATAATATAAAAGTCAAGTATAACCTTTTCAAATAAGACAAATATTAAATATTATCTATAAATCGGTAATTGACCTGTATAAAAGAACTAAACATAAAATTAAAAAAAAAAATAATAATATGGTTTGAAATTAAACTTTAGCTCTTGTGGTCTTCTTGTTCTGAATCATGCGGAGTTAATAATGCCAAACACTACAATGATAACACGGAAGAAATATTTTGCATTCATGACAACAAATACGTAACACTTTGACCAAACTAAAAAAGGAACAGTCTTTCATTTTTGTTCTTCAATTCATGCGAGCTATGCACGTAAGTATATAGTTATTGGTTGACAACAGTATTTAAAGAAAAATTGAGATTGAATGTCAGAAACACCATCAAAAATTAGTTTTAAGAAATTAGTATTATCATGGGAGATGCTATGAGTAATGCTGCCGGGCAAGATGAAGTGCATTTCTGAGAATATGGCAAAGAGCATTTAGAATCTTGCTAAGCGTATCGGTCTAATAGAAAAAAATATCTTAAACTCATATTACATCAATATACTAACATGTTCTTCCCGAAAGTGCAACCAATTTGCTTTTTAAGATCACCCCGGTCTTTGGTTTGGTTCGTGTTGCTTCGTCTTTTAGTTTTATGTGTTGCGTTTTGTAGACTGTTGTCTGTCTTTTAGTCGTTTTTCGTTTTTGCCATGGCATTGTCAATATAAAGATAAGAAGATGTGGTATGATTGCCAATGATACAACTCTCCACAAGAGACCAAATGACACAGAAAATAACAATTATAGGTCACCGTACGGCCTTCAACAATGACCAAAACCCATATCGCATATTCAGCTATAAAAGGCCCCAAAATGACAAATGTGAAACAATTCAAACGAGAAAACTAACAGTTTGTTTTCGACTTATGAGTTTGACTTTCCCTGTGGTATTTTCCGCCTCTCTTGCCATCCGTATTTTTATTCACAAAGATAACAATAATAATTTTTGTACATTGTCAGTTACAAGCATTATCATCGAACCTGAAATGTCTGAAGCAAATACCCGTAAAACACATTTTTCTACTTTTTCGGTCAAAATAACTTTGTCATTAAATCATACAATTGCACGATGTCTTTAAGGTTTTGTTCTGGTGGCGGCTATATCATTAAAATGTACCCTTCGGCTTCTTAGTTAAGATATATCAAACTCATTTCGTTTGGGCACACCAGGTGTTTTTGAAAAAAAAAATCGTCATAGGGCACGCTCAAGACGAAATGGTTATTCGACATGGTTTGAAAAAGGTAATGCAGATATAAAGAATACAAACCCGTACGCGTCCACACACATATACTTATTTACAGATATGTTAAAAGAATAATGATTAATAAAGGCAACTGAAGTATACCGCTGTTCAATTGTCATAAATCGATTTAACTGAAACAAATCTGGGTCACAAACTAAAACTGAGGGAAACACATCAACTATAATAGGAAACAAAACGGAACAACAGAAACACTGAACTGCTACAAAAACAGACGCCAACATACATAGAAACGGACTATGTGATAACAACTGCCATATTCCTGACTTGGTACAGGACATTTTAAAAAAAATGATGGGTTGAACCTGGTTTTATGGCTAGTCAAACCTCCCGCTAATATGGCAATGATAAAAATACCGCTAAAATGACAACATTACGTGACAGGAATACAGAACAATTAAACGCAAGAACATTCAAACAGGGAGAATACATAATATAATGGTACATTTCAACATGTAGACCACAGAATAACAACGAACACCTAAAATTAATTTACGACAGAACACAAATACAGCACAATAGAATAATGAACTATGCGTCACACGAATGTATCAGCGCCACAAAAAGTGACGTCACAGGTAAATTTCTAAAAATAGAATATAAAATATGGATTTAGTTTGTAATGATGCTATTTGGTGTATGTTCTAACCATTACAAGCATATTAATATAGAATTGTGTTAGCAATGGTGTAATTATTTGTATTTTATAACCATGTCGGTTTGTCTTCTAAATCAAACTGTGTAAAAACAAATAAATTCTGTGCATATAGTTGCTTTAAACTAAAAATCATATAAATGAACTACTAGGTGATTAATATCTTTACTTGTACATACATACAGAAAATTAAAAAAAAATTAAAACCACAAACGATAAGACACAAAACAACATCCAACCAGAATTACAAGTGAAAATCGGTACTAAATACATGAATGTTGGATGTACATATACGGAGACACGTCTAATAGCAATGCGAATTTACACTCAGCAAATAAAACAGTCATATTCGGGAATAGGTCACAATCGGTACTTAGAAGACCAGATGACGTAGATGGTAAACCACAATCTAAGTCGTGGTAAAATGTTGTTAGTTAGTTTACACATAGACACATCTTAAAGATCAACCAATTCGTGATGGTGTCCATAAAATTTTAATCTTTCCTCCTCATAATTCTGTTGTAGAAGTTTCTGCGTAAGGAACACACTCCTGTATACGAAGTCCGTATAGTGTGAACATACAAGAGCATAACGTATCAACTTAAATATGTAAACACCATATGATAGGGTAGAGGGTATGTTACTGCTGAGAAATGGGAAATTGATAATTGGGAAGTTGAAATCGTCCCGTTTGTCATAGATTTCAGTGTAAAGTCGTCTATCTGTGTCAATATTGAGGAAAAGATCAAGGTATAAAGCAAGTCTTCTAGATTCAGTATTATCCTTAATTTCAATTTCACTGGGATATATGAGATGTCAGTACTAGCTGAAATATGGGTTATTCAGTGATAGGACATCATCAATATATCTGAAAGTAAAATGAAAGAATTTCGCAAGGTGCTTTTTCTTTTTTTTTCTTTTAAAATAGTAACATAACAATGATAAAGAAACGATTGGTAATATACAGAAATTTTTTGAGATAAAGTATATACTGAAATAAAAACATAATATTTTTTTCTAACTAGTTGTGGAATATATAAACACTATGAATCCATCAAAAAAAACTTGGGATCGTTGGTCTAATACCGTCTATCTACTTCCAAACCGTTTTTGTCATTTCTATGGAAGGTATCATCAATGTCATTTGAGTGAAAATGATACTTGCACAAACGCAAACAACAATCTGTTGTAGACTAGGGATTAATATTGCCCCTGCATTGCCACCAGAACCTGCAAAATAAACATCAACTTAGTTTAATCAGTCTGAATACACGCTTAACACACAATTCCAAAATTCACAAAATAGTGAAGCTTTTCAAAATATGTAATATTATGCCTTGCTTTTTCGTTAAGCATATATATTGTCATGGGAATTTGGCATTCCTAATATTACCCGCGAACAACCTATATGCATATACTCTTAATTAGAAAAAAAAGTTTATTACCTAAGTCGGACATCAACATTGTATATGATGACATGCACACTGAGAAATATGTGCTCGAATTACAGAATAACATTCTCAATATTGAGATACAACTATTTATATAGATGAATAAAGAAATTTAATAAGATATTTACCTGACGCCGTTGTTGCAACAGCTTGCGCTGCTGTTGGTGTTGTGGCTGTTGGTAAAAAATAAATTTAAACATTCTTGTGAAAGATGCAATACATTATTTTAGACTGTAAGGCAAAATCAACACCAGTAAACCAATTTTGATCATCGCCCATCTTAACTCGAACAGGTCATGAAAGACTGAGATATGCAGTGTTTGTGGTCATTTCAGTCTTTCAATTAATTTTCAGACTTATCCACTGCAGCGAGAACTTCAGAACTGTTCAGACAATTCACTTGCTATCAAATAAGATATGTTCAGACTATGATCAGACTGTTCAGTAACTCCTATTTACCTGTACGAAACAACAACATACTGAATATTCTGAAAAGGTACTGTATAGTACTGAATTTACCGCAAGAAAATAACATATAAATTTCTTAAACTCTCAACATTTAGTTTCAGACTTTTCAGATGATGTATATATCAAAATGAACAACTAAAATTCATCTTATAGTGAGTTTTGCTATTATGATTTTAACTCTTGCTTTAAACTATACCACCTCTGTAGTATCGTGGTACCAGTGCGGGTTGCCAGTGATTGGAGCACCGACCGGGTCATATAACAGATTTTAAATTTGTATTTTGCTGCATCTCCGCTAAGCACGCGATATTAAGGATAAAGAGGAAAGAATGATCGGCTAGGAGTCAGAATGTGTCCGGATAGCGTAAAAAAAAATTATCGTGTTGATCAGTACAAAACAGGCTACAAATTCATATCGGATTAAGACGTTCTCGCCCTGAATATGCATTTTATTTTCCACTGGACTTTAAACACCCATCCATCATTATCATCAAGCATTATATTATCAAAATAAAATACTGACGAGAACTGTCTGTGTCAACAGATTTTTATTTGGTTTTGTGTTGCTTTATTCCACTTTCAAAATCTTTGTCATATTTATTTTTTGTTAATCTGATTAGAAAATTTAGAATGAAAACGGGGAATGTGTCAAAGAGACAATCAGACCAAAGAGAAAAAAACAACCCAAGGCCACCAATGGGTTTTCAACACAGCGAGAAAATCCTGCACCCGGAGGCGGCCTTCAGCTTGCCCCTAAACAAAAATGTGTACTAGTTCAGCGAAAATAGACGTCACACTAAACTCCGAAACATATAAATAAACTCTTCTTTATCTGAAATGCGATAACATTTTGCATTTAAGTTTTTTGGTCATATCCTAAAATTAGGAAAATTTACATGTATCAATGTGTTTGGGTGAGTGAGACGATTTTGTAATGATTTTTTTAAATGATTTAGCCTCACCGACACATATGATTCATTACTAAATTGAAACATTAACAATAGTAGTACGACTCGCATATTACTAGATTTGTGTAATTGTGTTTCCCGACGTATGATTTGTCTTTTTTTCAATGAAGTGCCGCAACTTTCTTTCGAGGTTTTTGTTATTCCATCTTTATTGCAATGGATAGTTTTATCTATTGCCATTGGGTGATTTTACATATATATCTATTGTCCATTGTGTTGTATTTTCTTTTTGACATATTTGTATTACTCTCTTTGTATTTCGTTTTAGATGATCGGGTTAGATTACTCACCCTGGTATATTTGTTCTGCATATGTATTTGTTTTCACTCAAAATACTTATCAATTGAGACCAAAGTGCACTATTAAAAATTAAATAACAGGAAATTTACAACCGTACTTCGTGCCCAGTCAAGCCGTTACCAACTGAATTTCTATAGATTGTTCTTGATTTTGTACTGCTTTTCATTGTTCCAGTTGGTATGAGAAAGGTAGAGCACCCAAATGCTAAATCCCGTCATGTTTGATATGTGCTTGTAGTTCAGTCGTTGTAGTTGATTATTGTCTGATATATTTATTTTACGTTTATTGTTTTGTTATACATTTGGTGTTTGAATTGATTCACATTTTGTCATGTTTGGGTCTAACACAGATGATTATATGATATAGGTTTGCTCATTGTTAAAGGCTAAACAGTGAAATAAAATAATTGCTTAAATCCTCGTAATGTGGACACTTTTGGATAGTTGCCTCATTGGCAACTCAAAGACATCTCCTTTGTTTGGTTGAGTGGAGGAAAACTTATACCATTTACAATGAATTAATTACTACTCACTACAATCAACATATAGAACAAGTACAAGGTAAAAGAAGATGCACACGGCTGTCTTTGAATAAATCTGAAAAAACGATGAATGTTTATTATTCAAAACGTAAACTATTTCACTTTGGTTAAATGTAACAAATATACGACTCCGTCAAGTCATCCGAAAATCCATCACTAGTAATAAGTGTAAGTCTGAAACGTTCATTTGGATGTTAACAGAATCTTAAAAGTCTGAACAAAAACTATCAGTCATGTTAATCGTATCAGTCTATTTTCATACATATCCATTGCGGTAAATTCAGCATTGTTTAGACAGTTTCCTTGAAGTCAATTCAGTAATGTTTAGAAACATTTCAGACAATTCAGTATGATGATGATGTGAACAGGTAAATAACATCTACTTAACATTCTGAACATAGACTGAGCATATCTTAATTGACTGCAAGTAAAGTGTAAGATAGCCCTGAAGTTACCGCAGTGGATAAGTCTGAAAATGGACTGAAAAACTGAAAATGACGAAATAACTAATTGTTCAGTCTATGAAGAGATAGTCAGATCAAAATGATCGTTTTAGATCAAAATTGGTTTACTAGTGCAAAAAAAAAAAGAAACGTAGCCAAGGTGCCAATATATTGACTTTAGTATTAACTAAGCCGCCATTATGACTCTTAATGACCGAATTTATAACAAGACACTGCGGCCTTTTATTGTTTTATTCGAGCATCATTGATGAGTCTTCTGAAGAAGAGAGGCGCGTCTGACATAAATATGAAATACATTATAAGCGAGTTATATTTAATGAATGTCTTTTTCATATTGTAAATATATCTCCTTCAGAAATTTTGAAAGGTTAAACATTTTTTATATATATCGCATCCTGTCATTATCTAGGTAAAATTTGAAGTGTTTCCGTAATATTTATTTTCTTTTAAATTTTTGCTTCTCTGAAACAACGAAAAGGTCAATAACACCAAATTTACAACAACTATAACGTATAAAGCATTCAACAATTTTTTTATCTTTTTGATAGTATTCGATTTTTGTTCTGAAATTGCTAATAGTTCAAGCTTTGCAGAATTTGTTAGGTTCTATAAAGTTAATCTTACCATTTTCTTGAAATGTTTGGAAAATTGTATTTTCACACCATGCGTACTGTCCTAATATAAGTTTACAACAACTATAACGTATAAATCATGCAACAAATGTTCATCTTTATGATAGTATTCGATTTTTGTTCTGAAATTGCTAACGGTTCAAGCTTTGCAGAATTTGTTAGGTTCTATCAAAAGTTAATCTTACCATTTTCTTGTAATGTTTGGAAAATTGTATTTACACACCATGCGTACTGTCCTATTATAAATTTATAAACAGGTAAAAATTTATATATATCAACAAATTGTTAATTGGTGTCAAAACTATTATCTAATTGCAAATCCTCTATTGAAAACTAATACAAGTACAATACAAGACCCAGCACGAATCAAATATACAGCTAGTTGATACTGAACTCTAAATATAAAGCCAGTCCACGTTCGAAAAAAAAACATATACAGAAAAAAAAATTTCGTCAGCTTTATAGTTACTCTTTTCCTCACTGAAACCGGCATGCTTTTTGTTATGATGGAGGAAATTCATTTTTCCGTTAGTACTTATTTACATGGTATTGGAACTTATCGCTTAAATTGCAGTATTTTCAATGTGTTTTGCAATCTGACTAAAACACAGATCCTATGTGCATGCGTTGCTTACAATGATCTGAAAACGCTCCGTTCTTCTTTTTGTTTTAAAATTTTCGGGATTCTATGCTTTTGTCGAATAAATAAATGTACACACCTTCAAAAATTTGAAGGCTAAAATTTCATTGGCTGATGTTACAAATTTCAGAACAGAAAGTAGAACGGAGCGTGTTTAGATCCTTGTAAGCAAAGCTTGGACACAAGATATGTATTCTAATCAGAATGTGTGTTTTGTTCTTTTTAACAATTTCAATTTAATTAATTGACTTGTGCTAGTAACAGTCTCTTTATATTGCAGTTTTGATGATTTGTTTGAACCAATTACATGAATAAATGTTTTCTGCCAATCTGTTTTTATCACATTTTGTCGTATAGCTTCTCCATTGTGAATACATTCCAGACTTTCAGAGTTGTAGGTTCTGATTGTTTCTGATGATGGTCAATCCATAAAAGCGCTAAGGATGCATCAAATTTATAACGTGTTATTTTCATTTACTTTTTCAGAACAGAGCATTATGATACAGTGACGGGTGCCACATGTGGAGCAGGATCTGCTTACCCTTCCGGAGCACCTGAGATCACCCCCAGTTTTTGGTGGGGTTCGTGCAGCTTAGTCTTTGATTTTCTATGTTGTGTCATCTGTCCTATTATTTGTCTGTTTGTCTTTTTATTTTTGGCCATGGCGTTGTCAGTTTGTTTTCGATCTATGAGTTTGACTGTCCCTCTGGTATCTTTCGTCCCTCTTTGATAACTAGTTTAGTTTCAATATAATTGATGTCAGTTAAGTTAACTTTGTAATTATAAAAAAGATTGTCATTCGATTGTATTTTTAATTCAAACTTAACAGTGTTGATTTATCTCAATTTTAAAGTTCTTTACTGACAGGTTGCACATGGAATGTAAATAAGCTATTAAAAGGTGCATACATACAGATAGCAAAGTCACAGGTCAAAGAGGTAATCAATTTAATTTACATTTGTTTTAATGCTAGCGTGACAAGTCGTAATAGAGTTTTTATAAAATCTCAAAAAAGACCATATGACAGGTGATTAACTGTTGATAATTAATTCATTCGATATATTTTATTCATTGTTATCACCATATGTAGGGATTAAATATTTTCCATATGACAATTATTTCTTACAAAATCTTTTCGGCCTTAAATCATTTGAACATTTACTCAAACATATTGCAAATTGATTGTAAAGGTCTCAATTCAATGATTGTGACAGAAAGTTTGCATGTCCTGGACACGCGACGTCTCAGAAATATTTGAGAACGGCGTCTTTAAAATTAATCGAATAATGATAAGCAGATTATTCACAGATAAAAGAAATTATAAGACTTTTGCGGCTTAAAAACAAGATACTTACACAAGGCCATGCTGTCTTTCTTTTGAGAAAAGGACGCCATTTTATACCATGTACAGTATCTCTGTATAAGGTCACTATCACCATGGTCACGGAATATCAAAGTATTTATACATGTATATTGTGCAAATACATCCATTTCAATTCCTATTGTGATAATTGACATCTCATAAAGTATATAAAACTTGAAATTATATTGTAAAAAACAAATTAAACCAAGTCTATATTTTCCTCTACGTCTTGTTTTTTGTCTTATTATTTGAGTAAATGTGTGCAAACTAGGCAATATGTATATTAAAACAGATAATACATTTAATAGTGAGAATAAAGTTTTATTGATTTTCAAATTCTAAAACAATTTACAATATCATTGGTATACGTTAATATTATAATGGTAAACAGATTTCCAAGTGTCATTATAGACTTACGGACTTACAAAACGCAACAATAGATTATTCTTTTTTATTTTATATTTTCAAATATGAAATTCTTGAGCAATAAATATATCAACATAAAATTCATCCAGTACCTCATTGTCTATTGTCTAAATACAGTTTGTAGTTCGAAAGTTGAATTGATCAGCCACATTTTATGTTTAAACCATGTGGTTTGCACTGAAACCCTGGTTTTCACCTTATAACCAACGCCTAAACGATTGACAGACAAGTCAACCAGTTCTTTTATGCATGTTTTGAGTTCTGTTTTGTCTTTTCGGTTTTGGCCTCTATCATACCCGTTACAACAATTATACGGATAAACACGTAGGTCATAAAATGTTTTTCTGCAGTCGATTCTTTAGTATTTAAGTATATTGAAAAAAAATTGTGTGCATCTGTCTGCCATGACATCCAAAAAAGTGGTTAACAGTTAACATTGTAGTCGTAAACCCTTCTCGCTGATAGCGCTTCGTAATTTCATTTGATTGACATGGCGTTGTTCTGATCATATGTGGTCATTAACAAGTCTCGTCTGTCTGTACCGTTGTTGTATGGACTGTAAGAAGAGATTCCGACTCGAAATTTCTAGCCGCACCACGTTGACGTCTTCCTTCTTGCAATATTCTTATGGCCTGATTCAGATTTTCTTTGCTCAGTCTCGACAATATGGATTTGCAATATTTTTTTTACTGATTTAAGTAGGGTATTGATTCATAGAAATGTTTTACGAAAAAAAATGAAATAAGAAAAACATGGTTTTAAATTTCACTTTTAGAAACTCATGCAACATCAATGATCCGGTATGTTCAATTACCTCAGGTAAGTCAAGTTTTGCACTGTTCTAAACGAAAGAAGTTAGAACATGAAAACAAGAAAAACATTTATGTGAAGATTAATCATGATTTGAAAAACAAATCACCGAACTTTACCTTGCATCTGTATAGTCTATTAGTATATTTCAATTAAAACTCAATAAGGCTGAATTGTATCAACTGCAAAAACTTTTAAACTGACTATGCATTGATTGTGAATAAACCAATTACACATGCATATAAATAGACAGCTGTGTCATAGGTTAAAAGCCTAAATGATATAATTTGCATTTCTTTCAAAGGCTGAATGACAAATCATAATGAACGTCTATAAACACGACCAGATAACGGATGAATAACCAATTATTTGTTATTGGGATCTTTATATTCCATCAATACTTCAAGATCTTGTTTGTATATTAAATTTTACCGAATCACATTTTTGGTGTGTCAATCTAAACACAGATAAGTAATAAAGTAATTACATTTATTTCTCAATGACAGTCATTTCCTTTATAAAATCTTCTAATTAAAAATTGAAAATATATTTGAACATTTACGCACACGTATTGCAAATTTACAAATTATAATTAGTTATCGGTCCAGTGGTGGTGTTTGCAGAGGTTTGATAAACTACTAATGTAGTTCACAATTAGTACGTGATTGGAATGCAGACTCCTTTTTAGACCAAATGCTGATTAAATCATAACTCATTCACAATTAATCAGAAGTTAAGAATTGATTCATCATTAAACTTTGGTGTTTATTCATTTCCCAAATGTATATCTGCACGGCAAGTTTTGTGTAAGGTTTTGGATTTTCAAATAATAAAGAGACATCAATTATTAAGGTCTTCGATACCTGATGTTAAGTTTTCAATTGCTCTAGAGCCTAGAGAATATGTGTACTACATAATAAATAGATTCATTCAAACATTGATATTGTTAAAATGTTTGTATAACCCAAAATACTAAGAAATTAAAGACAATTACGATTAAAGAGGTAAACAAATATTTGCTGCAGACACATACAAATGTATTAAACGAGTAATTCATTGCGAGGATTGATATATGGTAGTGAATGGACACAGAAGGAATATGCACCAACATGTAAAACGAAGCGCTCATTGAATTACGTGAATGTAAACATGATCGGCACACATTGATCATGTATTTCTTGTATTGAGCACTCTTCATTTATTTATATATCATATATTCGTACATTGGTTTATTTGTTTAATTTATTTATCAATTTTTTTCAATTGTTTTCTTATGGGTGAAGTTAACACATACAATATAATGCATTGCAATATTTCCAGAACAAACAAACTCTTGAAAGACGTTAATGAGTACAACTGTTTAATTATTCGAACCACTAAAGTTTTATAACAAGTATATATTGCCACGGAGATACTTGATACAAATGTTTTGAATTTGTGGTTTTGAATGCTCTTCAAGTTAGTTTTTTATTTGTCTTTTCAACTGTTTTGATTCGAGCGCCACTGATGAGACCAAATGGGATGACACGAGCATTTGGTGAACCAAATTATTAGCCTGGTATATTTGGTGATTTTTTGGCGGATGTGGGCCCTGTTCTGGGAATGTTAACGGTTCAAAAAATAGAATGAGAGAAGTCACATGTTCCGATTATATATCTGTTTGACTATTATTTAGGATTCGAAAAGAAACATTCATCATTTCGCTTTAGAATTACACGTTAATAAAATAATAATAATAGAAAAGCGAGAACAACTGACCCTTCATGCTCACCCGAATTAGTCCACAATCATTGAGAAGTGTTACATTCGTTAACAGTACAAAATATACCATAATCCCCCCCCCCCAACAAATCGCAATAACTTACTACGGCAGTCAAATTCCAGGGTAGTAAAAACCTTGATGTTTCTATAGAATAATTTAACACGGTATAAACAGTAAGTATCTAAAAATGACAGGAACATTATGTTTCACGTCAGCACCATCGAAAACATCGATATAAATGAATCGTAACTTTTCGGCGCATTTTATTGATTTACATATATTTGTCGATTGAAACTTTGATGTGCAGCAATAATGAGTTAAACAAGGGTTACATTAAGAACACGTTTGTATATTATCCACTTTTGAAGAATGAATGCATATTTTATGCAGTATTCCTATATATAAACATTTGTTTAGTCTTGGGCGTTGGTATACATAGATATATTAAACAATTCTATAGTCATGCACTTAAACAATTTTGTCAATATAACGGAACTATCAATAACTGTCACATGTGTAACGTTAAACTTGATTGTTGTATAACCAAATTGAACTCAACATATTCGTCGGGAATAATCTCTGTACAATGTCATACATATGATAGTTGTTTTCCAATAGTTGGTTGTTATATAAGAGCGTTTGGTTAACGTTTGGTCACGTTTTAGGAACTTCCGTCTTTTTGAATTTACATTTGGAGGTCGGTAGTTGTGTTTGTACTTTTCTAAACGTGCAAGGAAACAGACAATCGAATGCAATTCCCTCATTCCCTAAATGTTTCTCTTCATGGTATATCAAACATATATTTACGGTTTTGAACATCCGTAAATGAACGTAGCAATTCAAATATTTACTAAGAAAAAATTTAAAAAAGTGTTTGGAATGAACTGGGTTTGAAGAGTATACTGCTGTGGCATTTAATTTACAACGAATTCAACAGGAAACTTCAAATTGCGATTACAGAATATAAATTAATTTGAATTTCTTCTCATAAACGCATTAAACATTTCTAAATTGTAGCCTTTTATTAAAATCCTTTGGTACTCAAATGTATCAATCACTTTTATAATTAATTATATTAAAAGCAAATGCAGAAATGTATGGAATAAAAACATATGAAGCAAAAAAAAAACAAAAAAAAAACATGTAAAGTAAAAAAAAAAAAATTATTATTGACAAAGAAAAAATCTATCCAATAATGATGATCATACGATTTCCCGTCATTTTTGTGAAAACACTCCAGATGGTATGCTATAGGTTCTTTCAGGTGACATTATGCTTGTTAAAACGCATAAAACCATCTGACGAAAACTAGGAAATAATGTTGCGCCTGCACTGTCATCGGAACCTGCAAAAAAATGCATTTGTTTTTATTAAGTAAGAATGCGTCCGCCTTTGCCTATGGTTAAACATCCATTCCACTTCTTTTCACAGTAATAGAGAACACATAATTATCATCGTTAGACCTTGACATAGTCCACTCATTGAATAGATGGTTAACACTATATAGGAGGAATTGCGGATCATACTATCTAATATAAAGACACCACCTATTACTCGTAATTTCCAAATGTACAGCACTAATCTGAAGGAGCAATGTATTTCAAACTTGATTAAAGTTTTCAAAAATAGTTATACAATAGTTCTGATCTCACTTTTTCCCAAACTAGTAAAATACTTTTTTTTGATGAGCCAGTACCATTTCTAATGAGAATATAATTCAATTTAGATTAGTTGGATTTATTTTTTTTGTGATATCATTTTAATTCTTCTTCCCTACAATATCGACATAATATGTTTGTTCCCACGGTGTCTATAAAATCATGTGATGATTTCCCTTTAAAACGATTTTTTTTTCTATCAGATCATCAACAACGTCCACTTCAATGGTATTCTAAGTAACAGTGGAAATTATTGTGTTTGGAGAAAACAAAGAATGGTTTTAAATCGATATACACGCTATGTTGAAATCATAACTGAATGACAGTTAATGTAAAAATAAGAAAATGTGGTATATTTCCAATGAGACATTTCTCCACCAGATACCAAATGACGTAAAACTTAAATAAATCAACTGTAGGTCACCATTCAGCCTTCGACAATGAAGAAAACATATACAGCAAGACTCGATCGACAAATAAGTTACTTTAAGATGAAATATTGATGGATAAGTGCTGATATTTAAATTGATACATGTACTATTACGCATTTTCTTTTCTTTGATGTGGATGGCACGATTTTTTTTCATTCACATTATTTCCTATGTATGATGTGTATGGTGTTGATATCATATCAACAGTCATTAAATGTTATATACGAAGATGATAGCTCTGTTAACTGATGCGTTTACCTGATGATGAACAATATGCCATGTTAGATATTTATTTGTTAAATTGTCAAATTATACAAATTAGAAGTAAGGGCATTATAAACTTAAAACAAAATAACCAACACAAAAGTAAATAACGTGAACGAAACATTGTGAATTTAAAGCATCACTTAATGGGTTACACTCGCTGTGGACTTAAGATGATGATGAATTCGAGACTAGGTAACAATTTACTAGTACCCGAGAAAAATAATATAATTTATCAGAGAGAGAGAAATATTTAGTCAGAATAACACTAAACATGTATGACCCTGCAAGACTACTGCTGTAAATATACATCACATATAGAAAATAGCATGAACAAAAATGTATTGTACTTGTCAATGTGACAGCAGCTCAACAACACGAATAAATTAAAGATGTTTAAAGGAAAACAATAGACAGATATCTATACAATATGTCAAGCTCAAAAGCGTCTTTGGTCTATAAAAGTTAAGAATAAGTTTAACAAAGACAATGAAAAAAAATCTTTCCTCAACACTACCTAAGCAGGCACTGGTTTAACAATACTTTCTTTTCTTGGAGATGTGTTAGAAATACATGAATAATATTTCGAATTCTTAGATTGGTGCATGTAGTACATATGTTTCAATTTACAACATCAATCTTGTCTATATTACCAAATCTTGTGTCAATTGAGTCACATTCTACTGTATATTCAGATTTGTTTTATTATTGCAAGAAAGGCGACGGAATAGATTTCGCAAAAATGAAAAATCGCATTCAAAAATTTTGATATCATTGTGTGTACGCAGCATTATCTGAAAACGAAATATTTAGTTTCTATTAAACCACTTCCGTATAATCATGATGATAAATGCGCGCAAAAGCTTTTGAATTAACAGTATCCCTTTGCTGCATTTGTTGTCATAAGACACTGAAATATAAGCTACATGTACATCGTTAAGAATTTAACCTTAAAACAATAACTGAGTTCGTCTTTTTCCATTTCGGAAATGTAGCACTTGTCTGCTCATCATGAAACAAAGACCAATATGTTTTATTGTTTCGTGTTGTTAAATTGCAATCAATGGTAAACTGTTAACAAATAAATTTAATTCAAACTAATTAATAGAAGATGTTCGCTCCTCTGTTTCAACATAACAAGCTTTTTTAAAATACTGTCATAAATTGAAAGTATATATTAAATAAGTGAACTTAAATAGTACAAAAAATGACAGGTGCACGTCCTTGTTTTTTAAGATATAATCAATTGAAAATTTAGCGGGAAATAATTCACTCTAGATTGTTCATACATTTAACATTGGCACCTTTTTGCAAAGAAGAACTATTACAAAATAACAGGGAATTTATAAGATTTTTAAATACCTATATGAAATAAAATTATGAAAAGAAAAGTGGGGATTAGAAGGCAAAATTGTGATTGGCACTACATGGATAAAACAAGAGTAGCGAATATCCTTAGATAAGAGAAACACTTTATACCTGACAAATCAGTTGTAGCCGGATCTGTAGGTTCAACAGTTGTGTCATTTTCATCTCCAGTTACTGTGAAGAAATGGAATATACAACAAAATTTAAGAAATTTTTTGACCTATTCATCACATAGCAAATACTATGGATTCATTATAATTCGTGGATTACCGATTATTGTGGATTTTGTGGGTATAGGTAAACCATGAATTTAAATATTCAACGAAATTCAAATTGTATATAGGCTTTCATGTAAGAAGAATTTGGCATAACCACGAAATCTAATATCCATGAAGATACACTTTTCTTCTCAATCCATGAAAATTGGTACCCATGAAAATAGATGAAAATTGAGATGATAATTGCCAAAGAACTTATAGTATAAACTAAATTAGTAAATAACAACATGATCAGGCGCATAAAACAATCCGTAGAATTTATAATTAGAACATTACGGCCGTCCAAACAATCTGAGATGATGGAAATAGGTGCTTCAGGGTGAATCCATTTTTGATAACTATTCGTTATTTTTCTTTTGTTGTGTTTTAATTTCTCTTTTGCTCCGTTCACATGGTTCTGAATAGTTTGAAAATTCTGCTACACATTATTTGACGTGAATTTTCTAAATGCGAACAAAAAATATTAATGAAATAATCATAAGCAAATACATCAGTTACAACGTCAATGAAATAAAAATAACAATAACAATGTAAATGAGAGGGGAAAAAATGTGTCAGTATAGAGGCAAAACAGCAAAACTTACCACAATTAATCAGTAGGAAGACAAAGCAAAAACAAATTATTGCTTTAAAGTAATGCTGAAAAAGAATATTATACGTAAATAAACAAATGTGTTTCATCTTATGTCAAATTGCACGAATAAACAGCCGCTTCAACAAATATATCAGAACAACGTACACAAAATGTCAAAATATTGCCTCGCAAATTTTACTAACTCTATCTGCATGAGTTGTTAAAATTTAATAGATATATACATATACAAACCTTATTATTTCGTTGTCGACAAATACATATTCTGTTATATGGTATTTATTACAATTTTTCCATTTCTCTCAAAGAACAAATGACAGTATTTACTTTTATTTATAATGTTTGTCGATTTTCCTTTGAGCTGAGTTCACACAAGATCTCTGTTAAGAATGTTTTTTTTTTATACTTTGAATAGAATTCAGAGTATGACAGCTTCATGTATGTTCTTTAAGTTTTTTTTTGTCTCTCAAAATAATGGATCAAAACTGCAAATAATGTATTATAAATTGACCTGTTCTCAATAGTTTCATAAAAAGCAATAAGAAGTCATGTATTTTCAAAAAACCAACTTTGTCGGATGAAACACAAAGTGTTTTCGTCCAGATATGAATTAAATCATTTTTGATTGACGTGGCTCTCTGATGCATTTAAAAAAATATTAAATTTGAGATATTAAATAAATATTGTTTCCAGCATCAATTGACAGTGTCGAATGACTTGTAGTTTTCAAAATCAGGTTTTTTTTTAAATCTTTTAAATTTGGAGACTGTAAATATAACATAGACTGGAAAAATTTGCTCTGCTACTTTTTTATTTTAATTTGTGTGGATAACTTTTCCCCAGTTGACACTGTATAGCTCTTCCCGTATTCTGTTATTTATGCATACTTAACTTTTCAATATTCGAAATTTAGTGTTCCTGAAGAAGTTAGTTCCAGAAAAGCACTAAGACGAATCAAATTTATGAATTTTTATTTCTTATATTGCAGTGAGGTATCGATATTTGACCTACTTCTAGAAGAAACAATTCATTAGAAGAACATTCATACTTTGATAGAGTACAACTCACCATTTTGTCTGTATGTTTTGCAAATTTTGATTTACATTATCGTCTTGCATTAATGTATTCAACACATTAACACCCAAAACAATACCCGTATCTATAGCAAATTGTTTATTGTTGTCATAACATGTCTTTGTTCTTTTAAAATATAAATGCATATGATAACTTTGATCAATATTTAAATATATGCAACTGCAGTCTTTGTATGTTAATTAGTACAGACGATCGATAACATGTCTTTTTTGCAGTCATCACATTTGTAAAGCCCGATTATTGTCTACAACTGGTTTGTATTGAGCTTTCAAATTTTTAACATCTTAAGCTTTTTTAAACCTAAGTCTCAACTGAAATCAGTTTAGTATCAATTTGATATTATATGATAATAAAATATAAGGAATGGTTGTGAATTCTACAATTATCGAGCCCATAAAACACGCAGATAGAACGATAAAAGTGCCATAGTGTAGATAACCCTTTGTATGATTCAATATATTAAAATATCTGTTACTTGAGTTTGAGACTGCTAAATTCCACCTGCTCAATATATGTCAGATTAATATCATATTTTGATTTGTAATATTATTTGTAACAAATAATATAGTATGTACTGTAAGTTTTATCTTTAAACATGGACACTAGCGGTTATGTAATTTGCATATGTTTGTAAATAATTAATCAAAAATATATAGAAAGTAAATGCACAAATAAATAAATTAATAGATGAATATATTTATAAATCTTATATCAATATATATATACAAATAGGTAAATCATTTTGGAATTTGCAGTGGCACTTTTATTACCAAAGTATGATAAAGTATAACCTCAAAAGTATTCGAAGAAAAATATCTAGAATAAATTATCTTGACTTCGTTATCAGTCGTTTAAAAATTTTAACGAAATTTCATTCAAATCACACTAATTTTCAAAAATTCATAACATGATATTCACAATATATACATACTATAGAATCGACCATAATGATTTGATCCTTATATTTAAATACTTTAATTATTGATTAAAGTGGCTTGAAAGATTTATATAATGGATACCAAAAACTAGAATCCGGTCGAAAAAAAGTTCTATCGGAAACGATACCCGGCTTTTCATAAATTGCATTATTGCGTTAATTTCACATTTTTAACTATGCGCTTCATAACCAATTTAAATCACTGGATTGCTGGATCTGCCCACACAACCGGAAACGGAGCAGCCACCTGCCATCAACCTCATATATGATGGGATTCTGAGTGCTCAGTCTTTAGTTTTTTGAATGTCGAGAATAGATAAATATCCTATTACACGAAATTATGTGGTGGAATATACTTCTCTAACGATTTTTAAACGATATGCAGACAAATTCAATCCTTCTGATTTAATGATCTGCAAAATTAAGCCTTTTGTGAATGTGACGTGAATGGTCGCATTTTTTTGTGACGTCACAATAGAAAATTCAGAGGAAAACAAGAAAATTGGACGTCATAATTGAATGTTGACCAATGAAAAATTGAGATCAAACAAACCACAAATTGATTGAATGAAATTAATCAACAGGTCATGAAAAGGATAAGTCGGTTAATACATGTAATAAGTGTAATACTGTTAAATATGGGTCAAGGACATATGCTGATAATGTATTGAATAAAACAGCACCAAATGAATATCCTAATGGTTATAGAAATGATAATATTCTAGTAGTGCGAATGAGAGTATAAAAATGGGAATCTTAGATACAAATTTCTTGTTTTGGGTTATAATAATTCTTATTTTGTGAAAAACCACTCTGAATCTACCAGAAAATATACTGAAGATGTTATTATCAAAATGCTGGACTTTTTGATCGACAATATATTTGTTGAGATTTGAGGATTGATATTTCAACAGACAGTCGGTATTCCAATGGGTACTAATTGTGCACCCCTACTGGCCGATTTGTTTTTGTACTCGTATGAAGCAGAATTCATTCAGAACCTTCTAAAAGACAAAAAGAAAAAGCACCTTGCGAAATTCTTTAATTTTACTTTCAGATATATTGATGATGTCCTATCATTGAATAACCCATATGTCAGCCAATACTTACATCTCATATATCCCAGTGAACTTGACATTAAGGATACTACTGATACTAGAAGGACTGATTCATACCTTGATCTTTTCCTCAATATTGACACAGATGGACGACTTCACACTAAAATCTATGACAAACGGGACGATTTCAACTTCCCAATTATCAATTTCCCATTTCTCAGCAGTAACATACCCTCTGCCCCTTCGTATGATGTTTACATATCTCAGTTGATACGTTATGCTCGTGCATGTTCACACTATACGGACTTCATATACAGGAGTGTGCTTCTTACGCAGAAACTGCTCCAACAAAGTTATGAGGAGGAAAGATTAAAAATGAGACTCCGTAAATTTTGTGGACACCATCACGAATTGGTTGATCCATACGATGTGTCTTTGTCCATACTAACTAAGGACATTTTTACCACGTCTTAGATTGTGGTTTGCCATTACGTAGTCTGGTCTTTTAAGTACCGAACGTGACCTATTCCCGATTGTGACTGTTTTGCTGAGTGTGAATTCGCATTGCTATAAGACGTGTCACGGTATTTTGCTATCCAAAATTCATGTATTTAGTTTTATTTTATATTTGTTATTGTCAAATGTCTTATCGTTTGTAGTAGTAATTCTTTCTTTTTTTTCTGTTCTATTCGTGTGTGAGGGTAAAGATAATTTATCACCCAGTTCATTTATAAGATTTTAGTTTGGGTCAACTAAACTTACACTATGTATTTAGTTTTCAGTTTGATTTAGAAGAAACACCGACAAAGCTAGATACAACAATTAATTATCTAATTACTAACACAATTTTATATCAATAAGTATTGTAATTTTTATTGTTATTAAATACATGTAATATCAGTATTACAAATCTAATCTTGAACTCTATCGTATTTTTTGGAAATGTTTAGAAATTTACCTGTGACGTCATTTTCGTGCGTCGATCTATTCGGCTGACATACAATGCGTTGTTCGGCTGTGCTGTTTTTATGTGCTGATCTAGGTTGTTTTACGTATTCGTTTTTATTCTGTAGTTAGTCACCACTTCGGTGTTAACATGTATATCAATTATATGGTCATTTTTATATTTTATAAATTTACTGTTTGCAAAAATATGAATTATTCTAAATACTAAATATTTTCTTATCCCAGGCAGATAACCTAGCCGTATTTGGCACAATTTTTTTGAATTTTGGGTCATCAATGCTCTTCATCTTTAGGCCTGACACCTTTAATAACTATTAGCTTGTCGTAATGTTCTATTGTATTGTTTATTTGTGTGTCATTCTGTCCTGTATGTTCTTCCATTTATTTGTATTGTAGTCCTGTCATGTAAGTGTTATATTTAACATTGCCCTTAAAGCGGGAGGTTTGGCTAGCCACAAAACCAGGTTCAACCCACCATTTTTTCTTAAAATGTCCTGTACCAAGTACCAGGAAAATGGCTATTGTTATCTTATAGTTCGTTTCTGTGTGTGTTGCATTTTAGTGTTTCTGTTGTGTCTTTGTTCTCCTCTTATATTTGATGTGTTTCCCTCAGTTTTAGTTTGTAACCCCGATTTATTTTTTCTCAATCGATTTATGAATTTCGAATAGCGGTATACTACTGTTGCAATAATTTATGTGAATTTAATATAGAGAATTTCAATATAGTTTTTAATTGAAATCATTAAACCCAAAAATAGATAATGAGGTTTAGAGTTAGATACTTGCATTGCACTTTCTCTGTCTGTTAAATTGTCTGATTCTTGATAATGATTAAGGCCTGCTTGAATATCTGCTTCGCAGGTGACCACGAGAACCCAATCGGCCCAGTTTTGTAAAAAACAATGGGTAAAACACAATTATAATAGACAGCGACCAACGACAACCACCAAACTCCTGACTTGGGAAAGCATATACAGCTCAACTTTCCTCCTGATCAAGCACAACAAACGAACACTAAAATCTGTGTAAAGCTTAACTCATCCGATCGACACCACGTAAACAATTCAACTAACAAAAAGACGACAAAAGAAACAAAGAACCGATCTACTGGTATTCGCAGTTATAAAAATCAAACTCAATGCCAATAATAACTAATTCAAATATAATGTTTCCTAGACTTAAATATCAATTAGTACACACCAAATGAAGCTAGGATCGTGTAAAATAAGCAGCCTGAGAAAAACATGGCGATGTTCAATGCCAAAATATAAGTATCAATAGGAAATAGGACCGTAAGTGTTTACTGCTGCATAGGAACACATTTTTATTTATCTTTAGCTTTAGCAGCATCAATGTTAGTAGATATCCTATTATGATAAGTTACTTCAAATTATCGACGCTTCCTCGAACAGGGGTTATATAGTGATTCACATGGTTGTCCACTATCAATTGCAATGTTTGCTTTTAAATGAGGTTTAATTATCAATTGACCAAACTATCGAAATTTAAACACAATGTCATCTACAATAAAATGCAAGTCTACCTCCATTTTGACTTTTAAAATATTTCCAAGTTCGCAATTTGTGCTCTTAGTAACCTTAAGATTAAGTAAAAGTATTTTATCGATGTTCAAATCTCATACATCGATAAAGAAAACATATCAAGGCAACAGGCACACTGAGGGAATCGCAGGACATGTAAAAGGAGATCGGGTACATGGACAGGATAAGCGTCTATCATGTCTATGCATCTTCCACCATGCGTATCCACACTTAGTCAAATGTCACAATCAGGAATACATGGAATAGGCCACTATTTACCCTTTACTGTTTAGTCCATTTTTGGTATTACCATTTTGGCTTGGCTCGGTACTTATACATCCCGCCATTGTGTTAGTGGTCTATGGTAATTTTTTGTATTCTTGCCTTTCATTTTTGCTTATGAGCTTTGTCTATATGCTATTTTGTTTTATCTATGTTGACATATTTGTTTGTTTTTATAGTGATTAGGATTATAACACAATCTTGACTGCTGTACCCCTATTTTTGACATTTTTTACCTATTATGTCTGTTTGTTTTGTTCACACATTGTTGTCATGATAATTGAATTTTTTTATGCGACTGTCATATAAGTGAGAGG